AACAATAGCAGCAGCGGCAGCAGCAGCAGCATCAACAACAACAACAACACCAGCAGCAGCAACAACAACAACACCCCTTACTACTACGACTACTACTACTACTACTACCACCACTACTACCACTACTGCTACTACTAATAATAATAGTACTAATAATAATTCTTTGTAATAACCATACTAATAGTACCGGTGGAGAGGTCAAGAGGCCCTGACCTTACAAGGTTGACAAAGGTTCTGTTCCCCACCACCCTTTGAGAAACCCCCTATTCCCAATTTACACCCTGGACTAATAGTACCGGTGGAGAGGTCAAGAGGCCCTGACCTTACAAGGTTGACAAAGGTTCTGTTCCCCACCACCCTTTGAGAAACCCCCTATTCCCAATTTACACCCTGGACCTCAAAATCCCTCAACCCCCGTTTGCACCTCGTGGCATCCTGATTCCGAGACCCGGAACAAGAAACAATTCGCGAGACGAGGGCTTATGTTGAGCAGCCTTCCAGGGTTCTCATGGCCTTATGGATACTGCTACCTCCTACATCCTGATCCTTCAACCCCATCCCAGTTCAATACAACCTCCCTGAACTCAATAAACCCGAAATTTCTATCGCAAAAGATCCTTATCATTCAGTCCCTCGTTCCACACCCTAAAGAAGCCTGAAGCCCTCAACCCCCCAAGCCCGAATGACAAAATCCATGTTAAGGTGAGTTAAGGGTTGGGTACCCTTGCATGAGGCTTCTGTAAGACTTACATGGGGGGACCAGGAGGCATGCAAGGGCTGCGCAAGGCGTACACTGGGAAACTACCGAAATAACATTTCCTTAGACCGAGTGGCGGATGGTGTCCAGCGGCTGTGTGGCTAGGATTCCAACTGCTCCGGCCTTGGATTTGGATCTTTTTATTTGGGGGTGGTTAAAACTAGCGGTACCTTCCCAAAAAGAAAAATATGTTCAGGATGGAGACAAATGGGGGTGGATACGTAGGCTGAACCGACCCGCTTTGGAAAAATCCCACTCCCTCTTGGGGAGTAAAACTCTTCTTCCACATCTGGAACATGCCTCTTCCTCACGACTCGCTGCTGGCCAACGCATGTCCAGTTGCTGTTCACATGAAGCCGTGCTCGAGGCCAATTGAAAGGTGCAGAAAATCGATAATCAAACGCAACAGAACATGGAAAAGGACAAGAACACCAGGGACTTATAGGGATATATATATACATATACACATAAGAAAACAAGTACAGCAATGAGTAAATATGTGGAAATATCTATGACTATGATAACACATGAACATCTACTAGCGGACTTCCACAGAATTCACCAAGTCGCCAATCCACCAGCGAGCAGCTCATGAACCACCGACATGGCAGACCACTGCAATAGAACCTATGATAAGAGAATCTTATCTATCATATGACTCACGAGAATTAACAGAGTTCTAATTTTAGAGGCGGGGGTAACTACAACCCGCTTATTGATCTACATACCCAGCTGCTTCACATGTTAGAGCGTAGAGCGTTCCTTTGTCGGGAGATTCTAAATGAGAAGGAACCTCAATATAGATGTGTATATATTCATTTCTATGTACATGTATGTGTGAATGCCATAAGTCCTAGCTATACGCAGACGAAAAATTTACGATCTCAAAAAACGAGCTTTAAACACTTTACGAGTCAAAGCATGCCTGCACGAATGTACCTACTGGTGATGAGTAGGGAATAAGGGCATATAATCCCTATACCATCCCTATATAATATGTTCCCTTCTTCCCTGCTACCTCCCTAGTAAGGGAAATGGCCTTTTTGGGTTGGCCTGAGCATCTGGTCTCCAATCTGCTTTGTTGGGAACAGGACTCACTACTTTCACAAATCATTCATGAGCCCATGGGTTATCTTGAACAAGGGTAATTTCCATCTCTTTCCATGCCTTCAGAAAACATCGAAAAAAATCCATCCCACAGCCTTAAGCCTGACCCCTGAGCTGTTTCATGGTGCCTCACAGTAAAGCTGGCACAGTCTGACTTTTTTCAGGCGCAGGTCTGCTAGTAGCTGGTCTTGGCAGGCATTGCCTTGATGACAGGCGCCAACTCCTGCAAGCATTCTTCTGAGATGTGACCTGGATCTGGCTCTTCCTGGCCATCCTCGAGAGGCAGTTCAGCCTTTGCCAGTTGCCATTTCTCCCACATGAATTTGTGGACCTGCTGCAACTTCTGCACCCAGCTGGCCCTGCTATCTTTCTCGAAGGATCTGGAGAAGGTTTTGCTCTGCAACTCTGGAAATGCCGACCACATCTCACTGTCATGCCTCCATGTCGATACCCACCGATGGTCCTTCTGGCTTAATGTCAGCTTGCACATGGGAGGCGAGAGAGCATCCAATATTTCTGAAGGAGAAGAATGCAAGTGCACTCCCCCAGCTCGAGATGGCTTGGCCAACTTGGCAGGCCCAGCTTTGTCCAGCACCTTTCAGGGAACAGCTTAGGCTCTCCATTAGAAGTATTAGACTAATACAAGGGTCTTATTGAAAGATTTCAAATTGAGGAACCTCCTCAACATCATCTCCAGCAGCAGCTGTGTTGTGCTCCTTCAGTTAAGAATGGCTTGGCTCTTGGGGTCTACTTACTTCAAGGTGTAGCTTGTCAAAATTGAGGGCTTTCAACTTCAGGGTTTAGGGTTTAGGGTTTAGGATTTTCCAAAACTAGTTTCTGTCCTTGTTCCCACCAGCTGCCTCACCCTCTGTAGCAGCAGCAGCTGCACTGTGATCCTGCAACGGGCTAAAACCTATAGACCCTAAACCCTTAGCTTATACAGTCTGGGGGGTAGGGGTGAAGGACTTGAAAGGACTGTTCAGTGACAAAGCTTCTGCAACTCCCTTGGCATTTGAAGGACTTATCGATTTGAGGCTGAAGGCCTTAAGACTTTGAGATTTCAACTGACATCCTGTCCCCAGCACTCAGAATCTGGGATGGCATAAGTGAACTGCCTCTGCCCAGCTCCTGCACATGAATGGTTGCTCATCACTTGTAGGTAGAGGCTGTTAGGTACAGGGCTTAGGGGGATTGAAGGTTAGGCTAATGGCACATTAAACCACTTGGGCCACAAAAAAAGAAGCTCTAGGCCCTGACATTTATACCAGCCCTGAGCCCCATCCATTCTAAAGCTTGCCTTCAATTTAAACCCTATACTTTGAGCCCTTAAAACCTAAAGCCCTAACTCCTCAGGCTCAGGGGCAGCCTCTCCATTGTCAGAGTCATTGGCAGTCTTGCCAGTTGATGGAACCTTCAGGGGTAAGGTTCACCAAAAGACTTTAACCCTACGCTGAGGCTCCTCGAAAAGTGATCACAAGAAAATAGAAAGCAAGACTGACTGGCACCCAAGGGCTGCATCTGTAGGAGGCTTCTGGGGAACCTTCTTGCACCATTTTTTCTCTTGAGTGGCATTCTTGATTTTGCTTTGGCTTTTGCTTTTGATTTGGCCTTGGTCTTGGCCCCTGGTTTGGGGAAATCATGCTTCGCACACAATTTTCTTCCTTTTTTTGTCCTTGATTTTTTCTTTCTCCTTCTTGAGGTCAGGGTCGCCTTTGTTATCAGCATCCTCTATGTGCTCCAGAAGTTCTTCAAGTTCAGCATCAGAATCCTCCTGAAGAAGAAGTTGGCTGGCCTCTTTGATTTTTTGTTGGGCCTTCTGCTTGTCTTCGGCACTTTTCCAAGTACACATCCAGAAGCAGATCATATAAAAAAGCTTTGGAAGCATTTTTCTTGAAGTCAACTTTCAAATATGTAAGCAGGTCTTTGCACTGGCCAGCTGTCAGCTTCAAGCCAACTTCAATCAGAGCATAAGGCAACTCCATTGCTTGTCCCGACTGTTCCAAGCACAAGGGCCCCTTGGGGCCTGCTAGGACAGGCCTGTAAGGAACCACAAGCCAGTCTTCCAGATTGGTCACATGGAATACCTTCATTGAAGCACTTTTTGCTGGCTGAAAAAGGGATAGCTCACCCTCCTTCACTACCTTCATGCTCCAGCCAAAGAAGCCATAACTGCCTTTGGCTAACACAAGCACAAGCTGGTCAGTTGCTGTGTTCACAACCAGCTGCTTGTTTTCAACCAAAGTTGACAACCATGCACTCTTGGGGTCACCATCATAAGTCTCTTGATGCTGCCAGAACTCAAAGAACCATTGTGTGGCAAGAATGTGTTGGAATCCCATGATCTGTGATGTGGATGGCCAATTGTGCTTCCTGGTCTTCGGGTGCATGACAGACTGGAACTGCTTTTTGATGGCCTCAGGAGAAAAGCAAAAGTTGCACAAAACTCACAAAAGCTGTGCTGAGAGCTCAACCCTAAACCCTAAACCCTAAATGGGCTTCACCTGCTGGTACGAAAATAAACTGAATACAGCAGCCAAGGAACATGTGTATTTGGATGAGTGAGCCTGTTGAAGGCTGCTGCTGAGCAGCTGCTTGCGCCAACCTTCTGGGCATCAGTCACCTTGATGCCCTCAATGTCCCTGGCCTTCAAAGCTGTGCTGCTGATCACAGCATGAAACTTTGATGTGCTGGCTTTCTGGTTATGGCGAGCATCTCTCAGAGAATCCTTTGCACAATTATGTGTATTTTCGATGACTGAGGTGTCTCCATAATGATTCACTGCCAGTCGAAGCATGTGCAGTGCTGGGTTCCCAACAGCAACATTGCACATCTGGTTGCTCCAAAAGTCATTTCCCAGATATGTCAGTCTCACCACATTGGCATTTCGCCAATGCATCAGATCCAGCATTGGGATCTGTCTTCCACCTGACTGTTGCTGTTCTGCATCAAGCAACATGGTCCAATGTTTTTGCATGAGCCCCAAGGTTTCTGTTCTGTTTGACTCCAACAGCGCAGAAGTGTATCTCACAGGTGGCTTCAAGTAGACACTGGAAAGGGACATCACTCTCTTCTCCACAATATTCAGCAATCATTCCAAATGCATACTCAAAGCAGCATCCAGGTCCCCCAGACATTCAGGATACAGGTGCTCAATGACATAGAAGCCATCATGAATGAGCATGTGAATTTCCTCAGCCCAAGTTTTGGAGGCAGCTCTCTTTGCACAGTCCAGCTCCACTTCATCTGGCCTCTTGACCTTCTTGGCCCTCTCACTAAAAACTTTCCAGGAAGGTTTGCCCAAGGTGAAGATGAGTTCAGCCTTCCACCAAGAAGCAGGGCAGATGATTTTGCAAGCCAGTGTCCAGGAGCCAAGCTTCTGTTGCAGGTGCCTGAGCTCCTGCTTGTGGGTCATCTGGCCTGATTCAAGCTCTGTGCACAACATCCTCACTCAGACCATCCTCTGGCCTAGCGCCATTTGCCATGATCATTTTTGACATGAATACTTGGCCTGCATACCAGGAGTGGGACTCGAACCACGAATACCAGCGCATTAATTTCACTGTTGGCCCCAATATCCTCAATGACTCCATGGAAGATATCATGCCAAACAGTGCCTCTTGCTCATCATCTGTTGTTGGTTCTTCTGGGAGCAATAGTTCCCTGGATATCATAGGGATGTAGGCCTGAAAAGCTTCAGATTTGAAGTTGTGCTTGTGCAAAAACTCTCTGGCACTCTGCTTTTTCCTTTGCCACCAAGCCTTGCTGCCAGCAGGGCCATAGCTCAAATTGTAGACCAGGGAATATTGTAGGAATACTTTCCACAAATACCCAGAGGACTGCTTGAGACTGTTCTTCAGGTCATTCCATGCCCTATGATAAGGGTCGTATTGTGCCAGTATCATCAGTTTTGCCTTGAACTGGAAAAAGTCCAATGATGGCACATTGCATGGCCCCATGTCAGACATTGAAATGAGCCTGGGTGCCCAATTCGAAATCCAGAAGAATACTTGCATGGGGAGGGGGGTCAAATCATGACATAATAGCATGTAGGTTAGTTAAGTTAGCATTCACCCAGCAATAGTCTTTTGGTGCAAGTAATAGTGAGGCCCTAAAATATTATTAGCCCCCATTGGCACACCCTTTAAAACCTTACAACAAAAGTGTCACCAACCAAGCAACACTGGAACTTTGTGCCAGTCGAAATTTGCTGGGACTTGTCTCACCAAACTGCCTGTCTTGTCATTCTGGATGTAGAAAACACCATCGTTGATCAGCCTAGCCTCTTCAGGAAGAAATGGGCCCAGATGCAAGTCACTTTGTGTCTCAAAGCTTTCCAATGGTAGGCCAAGAACACTCAGTGAGTGAGAGATGGCTCTGAGTGTATTGAAATTTTCAATCCTGGTGGCCTTTCCTGCAAAGGCTAGTTCCCTGGTCTCAGGCCCCAGTTCCTGACTCAGAACTGGGGCCAAATTCTGAATCGGAAGATAGCCTGTAGCTTTGGTAGTGCAGTCGTACGCGAGTAGGACTAAGGTCTCGCAATCATACCATGATGCATCCCATGAAATGGCTAGCTGCTGGCATTCCTCAAAAGCAGTCACCAGATTCTGCAAGTACAGGCAAGACTCAATAACCTTTTCATGGAGCACAAGACCATCCTGCTTGCTGGTCAGATCCGAATGGGTCTGCATCACTTCTGTGCGATGTCGCCTCTGTGCAGCCAATCTCTTCAGCAGGACCATTTTGTTGACCATGCTGTTCCCTTTCTGCGATTTCAGAAGAGGGAGGGGCTCTGGATCCCTCCTAGCCAAGTGCAGGGCATATTTCTCAAGCAATATGCCAGCAACATAAACCATCTTGGGGTATACAAATTGGGCCACATCCACCCAAATGTTGCCAATGGTCTGGTTGTGCTTGGCCCAACATAGGAACAGCAACAAATCTGAAATGCTTGCGACCTGTATTGGAGAGGAAATTTTCTTGCCACACCAGCCTTTGTCCATCAGTTTATTCCACATCCTGGCAAAGAAAGGGTTCAGGGCAGCCAAAGGACTGAGGTTTGCAAAGCCTTCAGCACTGACCTCCAAGGAAACTGTATGAGGATTTTTCTCAGCATCACAGCCAATAAATCTGCTCTGGCACACCTCCCCAAGCCACTGATTGATAGACCAAATCAGCTAGCAGATCCAAACTGGCATTCTTGACAGGTGCAGGAAATGTTCTGTGCCCAGGAAAATCCATCAACAGCACCAGCAAGCACCTGGATTCAACTGCATGCCCAATTTTGTGAGGATCATTCTGTGATCCTTTGGGCCTGAACTTCAACTCATCTCTGGAAACCTTAGCTGGGGCCAATGCAGCATAGCATGATCACAGCAGACATTGCATGCATCTGCAGAGAAATAAGCCAAGAAAAGCTCATTTGAAATCACAGGCCAAGCAGCCTCAGCACACTCAAGCTTGACTTCGAATGCTTGCAAGTTTCTCTTCAGG